ATTTCAATTGCACACTTACACTATCCAAATTCACATTCTGTATTCTATACTAAATGCAAGAATTCCAATATGACTGAGACAGAGTTCTTCCTGCAGGAAGTAAATTGTTTAAAGTTATTCTTCTTCCTGTCAAAAGAAATCCACTTCCTAATTTCATTTATACCTAATGTCTTCACTCCCCTAAGTCACTCAGGACCACTACTATACTTCCATTGCCTGCTTGTTGACCCAACCATATGCAAGTCATCTGTCTTTGGAGAAGAAGGAGTAAGTACCTCCATCTTTTTTCTTGATGTTCCTAGTCTTGTCTTTTTTCCCCTTTCCATTTGAACTGCTAATATCCAAATGGGCTCTCAACAGATCCTTTATGTCATGTGTCAGCTTTTTAAAAATAGCGTCATTTAACAACCCTACCTTCTTCATCTCTGAAGCCCCTAACAATGAAATTTATCCTCTGTATGATGATGTAATAAATCTTTCTAAAGTACACCATATTTTTCTGAATGAAAAGCTTTTCACTTTCTTACTCTTCCATTAAGACTTAAGATACTCCTCAAATTTTCCCAACTCTTCCTCTCCCATCTTATATGGAAGCCAGATTAATATATTCACTGTCACCCAAACAAAACATATGCATCAAATGTCCATATTCCTTTCACACCATTTGGCAACTAGAATGAGCTTCTCTTTTGTGCACCAAATCCTACTCCAATTTTAAGGTAGAGCTCAGGTTCCACTTTCCTTGGAAGCTTCTAACTACCTTGATTCATGGTTATCTTTTAAAGAATATGTTATTCTAATAATTTGACATATTGCTATTCTCTGCAAATTTTGATAAAAATTATTATATATGTTTTAAGAATCATGATATTTATCATTGAACACATGCTATGATTCTTTAAAATTTTATCTTTTAATTTTATAACAATACATGAAGCAACTATTATTTTTCCTATTTTAAGATGAAAAAACTGAGCTTCAGAAAAGGTAAGGAGTTTTTCTAAGAAGAAAACAAGCATTCTGGGGGTGAGAAAATGGACCTAGGGAAGGGGTGGGAAGGGTAGTCGGGGATCAAAAACGGTCAACATTACATATACCCAACAAGAATGTAATTATTATGTATCACAAAAATATACTAAGAAAATAAGAAGAAAATAGGCAACATTTTTTATAATTAGATCTTGAAACCAAGCATGACTTCTAACAGTTTTAGTGTCTTTTCAGTGAAACTATAAATTCCTTAAGAACAAGGATCAAACTTAGTCCTTCTTTACAGATAGTGCTTTGTATGTAGTAGGAATTCAATCAAATTATTTATTTTGGGTTGGGGAAGTATTCTTTAATGATTTTGAAAGGTATTTCCAGGGACTTAGCTGAAGCTTGTTTTATTTTATTTATTTAGTTTAAGAAAAAGCTAATGACTAAAACAATGGCTCTTCTAGTCTCTAAATTTCATGAAATCACAGTGTGTAATTATTCACCATTGTATTTGCTTACTGCAAAAATCATTTGTTGAATGAATATATATTTTTTTTTCTTTTTTTTTTTGTACCGGGGATCAAACTCGGGACCTTGTGCTTGCAAGGCAGGTGGTGGATGTTGAATGAATATTTTGGAATCAATATGTCCTTATGAGCTTATCTTAAAATTGTAGAATAGGGGCCATGTATCATAGTATTAAACATTCATAGGGCTGAATCATTTGGAGCAGAGAAAACAAGATATCCTCTTTGCTCTGTAATTTGTATCTGTACTGAGCTCTGCTACTGATTCCTTAGCAAAGGATATGTATGATTACTAACTTTTCATAAGTAGAATATCTTACTTTGCCTTATTTTGTATGAAATAATCCAACATTCATTTCTCTATCACTAGTGATAGCCATATCAAAAAGCCTTATTCCTGTTTATTTTTCTTGAAGTGATAATACTTGAACTGATGAAACAAATAGACTGATAAATGGAAATTTATGCCTTTTTAAGTAAGAGCTTATAGGAAAAGTGTCTATGGATGTCCTCCAAAAGTCTTGTACAATCTTGCTTATTAATTATTTATTGGATAGAAGTTGTGATTTCTAAATACGTTTCATATGTCTCACATTCCTGGCACAGAGCTAGGTATAATAAAATGTGTCAAGATTTGCAAATCAGTTGCAAAGTTTGATCAATAAAGTAATCTCTTTTGAGTTTAGTTTTGTTCAGTTTAGCTGGCAATTAAACTTCTGATCTGGCAGGCAGCAACTTGATATTCTTGCCCACAGATAACTGAATCAAAGTGCTCCTCATCACCATCCCCAACCCACAGAACTTGAGAAACCTCATGTCTTATATGTCCTACTTTGAAGGGTGAGAGTGTGTTGTCAAACCAGAGTGTTGATTTCCTACATGCTGCTGTCCTTCACATACTCTGATGCTGAGAAAGATTTTCAGTTATTTCTTTTAATGAATTTATATTTATCATTAACTGCCAAGAACAAGTTGCCTAATTGGATTTAGGAGGAAGATCCATGACCAAGACAAAAGAGAGACCAACTTACCTGCACAGCCTTGGATCCATAAGCTGATCCCATAACTACCATGTGTTAGACTGGACAGTAAAGTAATGATGGTTGTTGGTGTTGGGCAGGGTTGCTGCAGAATACAACCTTGGGCTTTTGGTAAAATTACTACTTTTAGAATTTGATCTGAAGAACATAATTTCTTTCCTTTTCTGAATTGCCAAATTATGCTATCATCACTTAGTAGCAGTGAATTTGTTCAAGCATCGTAAGTATACTATAGTAAAGGGATATTGCAAGTATTACCACCTATAGACTACAAATGTATTTTATTTGCTTTTCTATGATAAGGGTTGGACTAGAAAGAAAGATTTTTATCACAAGTTCAACAACTTTCCATCTCTGTGTATACCACTTTAATATTCTAACTTTAACTTTTCATTCTTTTCCATTGATTTTTCCTCTTTCTTTAGAATGACTACACAAAAATTCTTACCTATAAAGTAATAGAAAACAACTTTTTTATTTTCACTTTTTGGTTTTTAGATTTTTATAGGTATATCTGAAACAATCAACCCTAGAAAAAAGCAACCCTAGAAAACTAATAGAGACTCATAACTGACCCTTAGTGGATGAGAGGTATTATTAGGTGGAACACCTACATGTGATTGACTAAGCAAAGAGGGCTGGATTATAGTAGATAGTAACTATTTACCAAATGAATGAAAAAGTATAGTAAGGTATGAATCCTTAAAATATCACCAACCAACACATCAGAGAACTAGAAATTCTTATCTTATTTAGGTTAAAGCACAGAAAGGTCCTTTTGTGGTACACATTGAGCCATTATCTTCCATTAATGTTTTTAGACATAATTTAGAAGATTAGAGCTAGTCTTAGAGATTAGGATTATGAGAGCATAATATGCAGAGCAAGAAAGTTTTCAAACCAGATAGGGAGAAAGAAAACATTAGGAAACAAGGTGCTGTGGGTATAGAAACTCCTCTACAAGCTTGCCAAAGACACAGCAAAGAGATGTGTCGCTGGGGCCACTGAGTCGAAGAAAGGCACTTAAACAGCAGGGGATGCAGATAAAGTGCTGCTGTGGGCATTTTTCTCTCAAACCTTAGGCTTGTTTCCAGCCTACACCCAAGGAGTGTGTGTGTGTGTGTGTGTGTGTGTACACTCTCACACATAGTTCCCCTGCAGAATCAGAATTGGTTACACAGAACCATGAGTTTGTATTTAGCTTATACTCATATTTAGACACTGAAGGTCACGTGATAGCTCAGCTGGGCTACTTTTAAGACACTCATGAAGGAAAATGGATGTTTATTGTTAGAAGAGAATTGTTAAAGAATGAGAAAATAAGTTGAAAATATGAAAGCATATAGAGAATACTCACAAAATAATGGAGACAAAAGGCATCCTAAATGTAAAACAAAACATGAACTTGGAAAACTCAGAATATGTTTTAAGAGGCTATAATTGATACTCACTTCTCTCTCATATTTGAGCCAAATCTCTAGCAGTACAACTTACCTCACTAAGGACTAGATAATAGTTTCCACTTAATAACATTCATGAACATTAGTCATCATTTGACTTAAAATGGTTAAAATTAAGTGATCCAAAGAAGAAAAATAGAGTGAAAAAGAAGTTGTTGCAGGCGAATCCAATAAATCCTCCTGAAAACAAACAACATTTATTGGACTGCAAGTTAACACTGATGCCAGAACATTTAGTCAGTTTGATTGGGTTGTCAAGAAACAGTCAAATCAGAAATTTTCAACTGGAAGGAAACTTACCAACCTCAATATACTTATTTACAAATGGCAGGTTGGCCTTGATGACTCAAATGTACATTTTAGCCATATTACTTTTGTGACTTTGGAACACAATAATTTTCTTTAAAATTTTCTGTTTAGCAGGTATTGGCAAAGACTGCATTGGCCAATTGAGAATAAAATGAATTAACATGAAGCTTAATTCTACATTTTCAATTATCAAAAGGAATCATAATAAAATCAGAAAAATTTCAAAATAGTTCAGTGCTCTCTATTTAGCTTCTACATTTCATATGGCCAGTCCAAGATTTAGGAGTAAAGTCATTTCTTGGACAACAATTTATTTTAAATTGAGTTCACCAAATCTGAGTTTCATTTAAAATTTCCTCTTTGTTGCCCATTTTATGACAGTTCCAGCATATTCACCAACACCTTCTTTGTCTAGTATAAAGTGTGGATCCAAAAATACCATGAAGCAAACAGCTGTAGTAGTTCTATTGGTGAAAACTTTCCGTTCTATAAAAATACCTAAAATGCTATTTTATGAACTGGCGATAAAAAAATACTCTGTAATAGCACATCCATGATTGCAAAATGCCTGTAACAAAATACATCTCAAACACTCAAATACAATAAATAACTTGCTAATGAATAAAACACTTGAACCCACTAAAGTCAATGAGAAGTAAACCTCTAATTTTCCATGTATTTTGTAGGAAATGAAAACAAGAGAGTTGGTGTCATTGCATCGTCTGAGGTGGCTCAACTGACCAAAGATGAAGATTCATTTCAATGAAATCTAGCTGACAAGTTTCCTGAGAACAAGAGCCATTTCTCGTTCATCTTTGTATCTTCAGTTGCATTTAACGTAAATCACAGTAAGTACTTTATAGACATTAAATTGAATACATGAATTAAAGAGTTATTCTTGTGACTTGGGGAAGGTTAGAACCATTTGAAATACATCTAACTAAAACTGGTTTATAAAGAGTAATTTTCCTTACAGAGTTCATGTCTTATATTCAGCTGGAATGGAAATACCAATAAAGGGCTGGGGATTTAGCTCAGTGGTTCTGACACCTGCCTCACAAGCCCAAGGTCCCAAGTTCAATCCTCAGAATGAAAAAAAAAGAAAGAAAGAAAGAAAGAAAGAAAGAAAGAAAGAAAGAAAGACCGATAGAACACATTTTAAAAATAATGGATCTTGAAAAGGTGATAAATGCAATATAAATACAATTCAAAGCTTAATATTTTGATCTGTTTTTGTGCTATTAAGTATGAAAGAAATAAAGAGTTTAAAAATGTACTGTTGGGAAAGCCGTTTGTTTTGGTGTAACATGTTTGCATATTGGATTAAAGAAGCATTCATAATGTATCCATCAACAGCTAGCAAACTTAAAAGGAAATTACTCATGTCCTTTTTTATGAATGAGTTACTTAGCTTTGACTCTCTCTTTTGTGCTTTTAGGCTCCAGAAAGATGAACAAGCAGCTTTGAGAGGTATAGTTTACTGGCTTAGTTTTAGGAAGGATATGGTCAGTGGAAATCAGAAGCCCTTCCTAAAGAATCGCAGGCCAGGTGTAGATTGAATTACAAATGTGTTTTGTGCTACTGCAACTTTAAAGTAACATATTAATTTGAAAAATGATAGTGTTCTTTATTACCATCCCGCGTGAGAGGAAAAACATTCAACAAAACACATGGAATTTATATTTCAGGTCCCTGGGGTTTCTGGTCTGTGTAACTGAATGAAAATCTATGTATTTTACTCCTCTGAAATGTTTAGTTATCACAACGCATAGGCCATGCTCTTCTTTTGTAACAATGCTCATGGGTAACTGAAATCAATAATCTATGTTAAGAAAAGCATATCATTTAACCCATCAATTTAGAATAAGGATTCACTTGCTTGAATAATCTAAGTATGACATTTAAATTAGGTACATTATGCACATTTTCCCCTCCCTGCTGAGAGACACGTGCACTTGGAAGAACAGACAGATCTTGTTGCTCTCTGATAAGGTCAGACAAGCTTAGCCAGAATGTAGTGATGCTTAAAGCTCATTGGTTTTGTCTATGGAGCACAAGGCTGTTACCATGACTACAAAGCTGCAGTTGCTACAGCAGGCTCATAGGATGTCAAGGCTTCTGGGTGGCCCAGCACAAAATCTATTACTTTATGTTGTTTTCAAGAAGTCTCTGAATAATAGTACATAGCTAAAATAATTCCAGGTAAGCAAGATTTCCTCCACTTTCTCATGTAGACAGAAGGCTATTCTTCTAAGTGGGAGTAAGTGATTGGAAACAAGTCTATTTCTCCTAATTAGTCCATCCCCATCAGAGAAATAAATTGGAGTTGAAGGGAGAAAAATGCATATAACCAGTATTAAAGAGCTGCTTTATTTTCCATTTTCTAAGTGTAAATTTAAATTTTTTGGAGAATTTTAAATAGCTTCACAATAAGGTATGAATCCTTCAGACTGTCAAGCCACAGCAGCCGACTCACATACAAATCAGAAGTGTTACAAAGCTGAAGAACAGTCACAGGATATACTAGCGGGACAGCTCATCCATACTCTTACTTCTGGAAGAGCCAGTATCAATGAATTATGGGTGAATGGGGAGAGCACATTCAGCCTTTTGATTGAAGTCATATAGGAATATTGATAAATCCAGAGGGGAGAGAGAGAGAGAGAGAGAGAGGGAGAGAGAGAGAGAGGAGAGAGAGAGGGAGAGAGAGAGAGGAGGGGGGGGAAGAGAAAGAGAGGGAGATATCTGCTTAGCTTTTAGGTCAGTCACATTGTTTTACTGCATTATCCATTTAACACTCTCCCATTCATTGAGGCTTTTATGTATTAAGCCGCCCCTGAGTTTGGGTGCAGTGCTGTTCAAATGTTACTGAACCTCTGCTTTTGTTGGTGGAGGGGATGATTAAGTACTTACATATATTGCTTCATTTAGTGCTTACACCCTGACTATGAAGTAAGTAATCTAATTTTCATATGACAGATAAGGGACTACAAAAGTTAAGTGCAAGGTCATATATTAAATGGTTGATCTGAGTTTGGAATCTCTGCTACTGTGATGGCAAACAGAAATGTTCCTTCATCTAGTATGATATGCTTCCTCAGAAATGTTGCCTGACCAATGGATATTCACTTTTATTAAATAAGGCTTAAAAGTCCCATGATGGGAGGGCCCACAGCATCACTGTGAAAGAACTTGAAAGATCTAATCCAATTCCAACCCTTCTTTACTCTCTAGTTATATATCAACAGACAGAATCCCTCTGCTAACAAGGAACTATTTTCTAGGGAAGACCTTTATGTTGGACAATTGTTTTCTTTATTGAGTTTGTCTCTCTGCTGGTGGTAGGATCTGATAGACAGGAAACTCAGTGAGTTGTACTCAGAGTGTTGCACATACCCTGGGTGTGGCTGGAGAAAATAGAGAGGTTCTTGGTGGTAACACTGTCCAGAACTGTGAAATGTCCAATACTTGACCCTTCTTAGAAGAACACCAGTTACCTGGTCACAGTTGCTTGGGTACTAGCAGGAGATGATCCTCCAGTTCAAAAATCAGAGGTAGTTTATTACTCACTGCCATAAGAGTAGCCAGAGAATCAGGCATGATGCTAGTTCCCTGAGCCCTGGCTTCCATGAAGCAGTATGAAAAGAGTCAAATGATAACTGCACACACAATGGCTTGAGTCATAGGAGAGAAACTGTAAGTTTAAAGAACCCTATGTTTTATAATCCACAGTTAATTCTGCCTGACATTTGTCTCAGGGAAACAATATTTCTATCTTCCAAAGCTTTGCTAGATAAATGTACTTTGTAAGTGTCTTAGTTACTTTTCTCTCATTGCTGAGATAAAATATTGAACATCCAAAGTTAAAGGAGAAAATATTTATTTCAGATCAATTAGTAGGGGTTTTAGTCTCTAGTCACATTGCTCCGAGGCAAGGTGATGTGGCAGAAGGACTTCACAGAGGAGAAACAGTTATGGTGTGGCAGGCAGGAAGGCAGCAAGTAGTAGCAGCACCAATGAAGCAAACTTCTCCTTCCCTTTTATCCCATCCAGGACAGAAGACTTTAGATGGTGCACACCCAGGATGGACCTTCCCATTATCCACACCTAGAACTATGCTAAGCCAATCAACAAACTAATTTAGTATCATACAGTCTTAATCCCAATATCACATACCCTAGATCCTGCCAGCTCCCAGAAGCCCCACCTATGAGCATATGAGGCTTTGGGGGAACATTAAGAACCATGACAAAATGATAATTTAGAACAAAGGCAGTTGGTGTGTCTCTGCAAGAGGTAGGGAAATAAGAAAAATCTGTAGTGAATTATCCTTCAACAAATACCTCCTTTACTCTAAATAACATACTTCTTATAATATGACTTAAAACCACACTCTTTTTTTATCATTTTATTTTTTGTTAGCCATATATTACTGCCTCATACTGAGCTATTGCTGACAAGAACTTCTTGTTTTCCCACATAGGTGTTATAGCTGTCATATTATTCAAATTTTACTTGCTGTCTTAGTAATTTTCTTGTTGTTGAGACAAAATACTTGACAAACACAACTCAGAGGAGGAAGAGTTTATTTTGGTTCACAATGTCAGAAGTTTCAGTCCATGGTTGGCAGGCTCAAATGCAGAGCAGAATGGTGGAAGTGCCAGGTAGAGGCTAGGAAGCAGGAAGAGACAGGCGGAGCCATGGACAAGAATATCCCCTTCCAGGTCATTTTCCCAGTGACCGAAATTTAACCAGGATCCACCTCGTAGCAGCACATTCAGCTATTGAACTCCTTAGTGGATTAATCCACTGATGAGCACAGCAACCTCATTATCCAATCACCTTGCAAAATCACTTCTGAACACATGAGGTTTTTGCGGAACATTCTGCATTGAAACTACAACACTAGTATAATTAAATTTTTAAAAAATCAAAATGCAGGCCTTTATATCTATTTGTAATAACTTTATTTTTCAGGAGTAGAGGAAATATTACCCTATCCAAGCTGAGCTATAGTAAAAGTCTCATAAATGCATTTTCACATCCTCTGTGCCTCTCTTAAATATAGACTCTAAGCTGACAGTGGTGGTTACCTTTTAATTTAATTTTATTTTATATTAACATATATTAATTACATATTAGTGAGTTTCAGTGTGATATTTCAATATGTGCATACAGTGTACACTGATCAAATCTAGCCTCCCTATGTCTATCCACCCCTGGTACCTCTCCTAACCTCTAGTAATCATTATTTTAAATTCAAGTTTACATTTTTTTAAATTTCCACATATGACAGAGAACATGTGGTACTTGTTTTTCTGTGTCTGACTTATTTCGTTTAATATAATGTCCTTTTGCTCCATCTATTTTACTGCAGAATAGAGAATACCAGGAATAAGCCCGTGCCTTCTCTATAGACAATTTTTTTCCCTACAAATTTGCCAAAAGCATACATTGGAGCCCTTCAATATATGGTGTTATGAAAATTGGAAAACTGGATACCCATATGCAGGAGATTGAAACTTTACCCCATCTTTAACTTCAAAATGGATCAAAAACCTAAATGCAAGGCCTGAAACTATGAAATATTAGAAAAAACACATGAAAAACACTTCAAGACACTGGTACAATAAATTTTTGTATATGATCCCAAAAGCATAGGAAACAAAAAGAAAAAAATGGGATTTCATTAAACCAAAATGGTTCTGAACTTTATCTTTTCCCTATCAGAACTAATCATGTTTTGATTTCTGACTTCCATTTCCTGTTAATAAAACTTTTATAACTTCTCTTTGTTTTTAGTACAAATCTTAAGGTTTATAACAGGACCACTGAGGCTATGACTACATAATATACTCACCTTTCAAAACTGTCTGCTTTCACCATAAAAAGTTTTTTGGGATCCTTATGGGTGGTAATGCCTCACAGACTTCACAATTGGAGTTCTCTCTGCTTGTCATGCTCTCTACTCATCGTTGTCTTTTAGCTTAAGTCATTTTCTGTTATGACATACAGATTTGAGCTTCAAAATTGTTTTTTCGTGGACCCTCTTCCTAACACTTGTGCTAGATTGCTTCCTCATGCAACATTCCTAGGTGCTTGGTCCTTCTTCACGGAAAACCCACATAGGTAACTGATGTTGGTCTTTCCTTTTTTATTACAAGGGCCAGTCTGTTCTGGCTTTATCACCTAACACAACACGCAGTACAAGTATGTCAACTGACTTAAAAGAAAGCAAAACTTGTTTGGGAATAGACTCATCCAGTTTGCCTCCAGTATGGTTCATAGGATGAAATAGTGGGAGGTAAGTCTGGGGTTAGATTGCCTAGGCTCTTCCAAATAAGATTGAGGCATTTATACATGATTTGATAGACAAGAAGGAGCCAGTGTAGGGTATGACTGAGGTTTGAAAAGGTCGAGCTGGAGTGTATTCACATGGCTTCCTTCTTGGGACTGAGGCAGCCCAGCTAGGCACTGTGTTTGTTTTCCTTATCTTCATTACAATGTCAGTTCTCCAGAGTCCCGTGAGTGGAGCTTATAAAAACAGACTGGGCCACACAAAAAATTCAGGATCCAGAATTTCTCCATAATATGATTTACAAATTCAGACAATGTTACTGACAACACAGAGTTATGAAATTTTCAGTTCTCTTGGTACCATCGTGGCTTTATTGCCAACATGATCTGGGACAGGAAAGACTGACTTAAATATAACACCAGAAGATTCCCTAGAAGATAGTACATTTTGGGTGCAACTCTGCTTTTGTATGGGAAGTAAAGACAGAGATAAAAAAACACTTCTGTTCTCCACCTAAAAGAAAATTCATCATTATCCTACAAATGGTTGTAACTCTGAACACTAAAATTAGAAATCACAATGTAAGTAGGTGTGAAAGCAGAAGGAGCTACGTTTCTTAATTTTGTAGTTTATTGTTTTTACTTTCCTGTGAAACAAACAGCTTATGAGCAGGACATGCTCTTTGAACACATCTTTCTCTATTGAATCTGAGTCTTTGCAGAATTCTGACTTGATGACAATCCACATACACTCAACAATCAGCTTCCTAAGGCTTTTTTTTTTTCCTGGGCATTGGCAGCTCCTGGTTGTTAAGCATATCATTCTTTGCCATAAACATTAAACAAGCAATAAATAATGAGAAAAAAATCCATACTGTATTAGTGAATTTTGTGAAACCAAATAAAATGCATACTACTTGGTGGGTAAATGTACTAGAAAGATTACAATCTAATTTGGCTTAACATTGGGATATTTTGCTTAAGATATGAACTTTGGGATCTGAGCATAAAGCCTGGCTCTGTCATTCATGAATTGGGTGACCTCAGGCAAATTATTATGGAGTAACTTGCACAAGAGCACACATAGTGGACACTTATACTGTGTAAGGTACTTTACATTGATGTAGGTGCTATTACTATCCTGGCTTTTCATATGAGAAACTAGGCAGAGAGGTTAAGAAATTTGCCCAAAGCATAACAGCTGATGAGCAATAGAGCCAGGTATCAAACACCAGTAGGCTGGTTTCTAGATCTTACTATTACACTGTAGTTATCTACACTTTAGTTTTTCCTATAAAATAGTTACAATGATTCTGCCTCACCATACTGTTGAGATTCAAGTGAAAAGTATTTGTGCAATATTTAGGAGAGTGCTGGTATACAGAAGATCCTCATAAAAACTAGCTATTATAATTATTAATGGTAAGATTTATATTCTTAAAGTATATTAACTACAAACTCAATATCAGTTACAAAAGTAGATATTATCTTTGGGAGTGGTTATCCATGGTATGTGTTTGCCTTAAATTGACTTTCACAAGACATAACTGTGGGACATAGCCCCTCCCCTGGTTGATTGTGCTTTGAGGACAGCTGATATTGCTGTAGGTGGCATTTTCCAAGACTGAGAAGTGAATATTTTCAATCTACTGGATTTTCCCCCCTTTCAACTATATTTGGAATATCATTAAGCAAAGATCTGTGCTTTGATAAATAAATGTCCATAGAAGGAGAGGTTTTTTTTAAAAAAAAAACAAATGAAAAGTCTTGGAGTATTCTGAAATAAGGTTGAACATCTTTTTTTATCACATACATATTTGCAAGCTCCATGCAAAGTTTTTTCATTGATACACAGAACTCAGATCCTTTTAAACTCCTATCTAGAACTTCCAGTCCTGTTGGATAATTGTCCTACCTTTAAATGACTGAAAATCATTTAACAAGTTTGAAATAAGATACAATTTGGTTAGTTTGTGAGGCCTCCTTCTTCAGAATTTCTTATTATTGTATCAACTTTTGTTGACACTGATGCTGTTCTTTTCATTCCGTTTCTTCCTTTGAAAAAGGGGTAGTATATTTCAGATGTCACTGTGCCTGTTTCTAAGCTTACCATAAGGTTATGACACTCATTGATACTCACTGATGGTTTTATATCCTTCTTTTCACTTTTTTCCACTATAATTCATTTCCCCAACCAAACAGACTCATATTAAATATCATGGGTGAAGTGCTGTTTGCTAGGTAGTGAAGATAAATGCAAAACACAGAGACACAGATACTTGAGGTATAGCGAGGGAAAGACGTCGACAAATAAAAAGCTCAGAACAGCCAAAGAATTTGGACAAAAACCATGTAAATAGTATCACAAATGTCCAAGGTAAAGGTGTTTATTGGATTTAGTAGTGAAAGCTGGTTGCTGTGAGAATGGAGAAAAAAAATAAAATACAATGAGTATATTCCCTCTTTCAGGGTATTTGCCCATAAAAAGTATAATCCAAGATGATAGCTTTCAGGGAAAGTAAAATCAAAGAAAGATAACTTGCATTATATGTGTGTGCATGTGTATTTAACATGAAACTTGAGCATGTTTACAAACAGTTTTCCCTTAATTTTATGTTCTTTCTTATATGAAGTGAGAATATGTATAGACTTCCACTTCTGGGTAGGACATAACAATTTGTGGCAAGTGAACGTTTTTGTTAACACTAAGTAGAAAACCCAGATAAATTAGAAAAAAACCTTATATTCTTAAGTATATCAAAAAGCTATGAAAACAATAATATCTAGAAGAACTTACATTTCTAAGAGGACAGACCATTCAGTTTTGATCTAAGGATCAGCAAATTTTATTTTTACAGTGAATACTTCTGAGCAATGAGTAAAGGGTGAATATTGGTGCTAAGTCCAGACAGAGGGCATTTCTAAGAGAAAAAGAAACCAACAAAACTTTTAACATTTGCACAGGATTATTATGGCAATATTTGAGAATTGATAGGTCCTCAAGCATGTTATTGATTGCCTATTCAAGACATTTGTTTAATTTTAGAGCTTTGTAGGAGACTGAGGTCCAAAGCCTCTGGAAAGGGTGAAACCTGTAGCCTCATAAATCAATGACGTATGGGGAATGATGTCTGAACTAAATCATGTGTATAATTTCAGGGACAAGGAGTCACAGACCACCGGAATGTCAACAGGAGTCTTGAAGGACAACATCCTAGGAACAATGGAGACCTAAAGGAAGACTGGAGTTTGCTAAATTTTATTTTGTGCTGAGCCAGTTCAGTCTTGGACTGGATTGTGCTGATTATACCTCTATCTGCTTATTAGAGGACTCAACCCTATCTGGGGAATAAAAAGTTATCCAGGAGCTCTATACTTCTTTTGTACTCAATGTCTGGAATACAATAGAAAACCTGGATACCAGGTGAGATAAGACCAAGAGAAGAAAAAAAAATACACAATAGAAACAAATCTAAAGATGATTCACAACATTAAGTGGACAAAGATTTTCTTTCTTTTTTTTTGGTACCAGGGATGGAACTCAGGATCTTGTGCTTGCGAGGCAGGCGCGGTGCCATTGCGCTACGTCCTGGCTCTAGTGGACAAAGATTTTAACATAACTATGATTAATACGTTCAAAAAGCAGATGAAAAGATGGCAAAACCACATGGTAAGATAAAGATTCTCGCAGAATTGAGTTCTATTAAATAGAATAAAATGCATACACCAAAACTAAAACATTTACTGTTTACAATTTAGTGAACTACTAAATAACAGAGTGAAAGACTAGATTAGTAAACTGTAATAAGTTAATAGAAAATGCCCAATGAAGTACACATAAAAAAATATGTAGAGGAAAACTGGACAAAAGTATAAGCATCATGTGGGCTATGCTTAAAATTACAATATATTTAGAATTATGTTCATAAAAGAAGAAAAGCTACAGATTGAGGAAGAATCAATTTTAAAGTAGACAATAATAAAGAAGTTTCCAAAGCTGAGAAAAAGTCTCAGATCATAGATTCAAGAATTTCATCGAGCCCCAACTTGCAAACATACAATCAATCATTAACCAAAACAAATTATACTCTGGCACAAAATACCCAGACGATCTAAAAATCAGAACTGTATCTCAAGAATGATGTACAAAGAAGACAACCTTCAAAGAAACTACAATAATACTTACAGTTGACTTCGTAGCATAAGTGATAATAAACCAGATGCTGTCATCTTAGTATCCACTAGAGACAAAAACTGAAATTTGTGGATAATTAAATCTCATATAAAATGATTTAGATCCTCCCAAATACCTTACTTAAGTCATCTCTAGATTATTTACACATCCTACTATAATGTAAATGCAATGTGGATTGTTGTGTGCTTTAGGAAGTAACGACAAGAAAAATTTTGTACATTTTCAGTAAAACCACAATTTTTTCAGAACATTTTCTATCCACATTTGGTTGAGTTTGTGGATGCTATTTTCGCAGATATTGAGGGCTAACTGTATTTAAAATGACTATGGCTTACTTAAATGACATACTTAAAGTGTAAAAGAAAATAACTGCCAACCTAGATTTCTATAGGCATAGACAACATCCTTATAGTAACTTCTGAGTTATTTTGTCATCAATAAACTCCACAAACACAGTGGAAGGAGTTCTTTAGACAGAAGGAAAATGAGCCTAGATGAAGACAGAAATATCATAGTGAAGAAAGAGTATGGTAAATGTAAATGAAATTCAACCATAAAATCAATATTAAAAGCTAATATTAAAATATTTCACAGCGATTAAAATGTAGAGTATACTAAATTTGTGATAATAACATAGAAATCAGGGAGATGGTAAACAGATTTGAAGCAATCAACTGTTGTAGCCTTATGAAGTTAGTGGTAAAGGTAACTATTTGCATTATTATTAAGGTTGCATGAAGTCAGTTCTGAAATTGTGATTCCTAAACCCCAACAAACATCACTGACTATACTCATTGTTGCCTTTCCTTTGTTATTACAAATTTCATTAGCACAATCTCACTTTCTTCCATAGATCCTTCCACTTCCATATTCTCAGTAAATTTTTCCTGGCCATAATTAAGGTCAAAGTAGGCATAAGTCATAGTACTTCATTTGCCTTTGGAGCAATTAAATTTCAACAAGTCAAGAATTTGTGGGATCCTTTTTAGAAGAAAGAGCAAGACCATCAGTTGGGATCTAGCTATGTACTTCATCCTCTTTTTCTACAGTGCCTCAATTCTGTAGAAACCTTCTTAACCTCTTACACCAGGTGTATGAGATAGTGTAAGCCTCTGTTTATTTATCAAAAGTGATAATTTATTTTGTTGCCTATATTTTCCTTATTCACCAACCATTATCTTGCCCTACCTATATTTTCATTTATTGTCTTCTGTAACTGTGTACTCATTTCCTTTTCTCTTAAAAGAAATGCTCCTTCTTATCTGTCGGGTTATGTTCCAAGATCTTCAAGAGATGCTTGAAACCTCAGGTAGTACTTAACCCTTCGCATACCATGTTCTTGTCCTACACATGCCTGTGACAAAGTTTAATTTATAAATTAGGCACAGGAGGTGGTTAATAATAACTCATAATAACAGAACAATTATAACAGACAGTAATAAAAGCTATGTGAATGTTGTCTTTATTTAAAATATACTATTGGACTGTGCTCATGCTTCTTGTGCTATTATGAGCTGACAGAATGTCTACATGATTAGATGAAGTGAGGTGAATGACACAGGCATTTCGACATAGCATTAGGCTATGTCATATATACTGTATTACCTGAACACAAGTACTTTTTTCCCACAACTGTTGATGTGATAAAGAAAGCTAATGAGTGACTAGCAGTCAAGTGGTTTATGCAGTGTGGATACTCAACAAACAAATGATTTTCTTTATGGATGGGTCAAAGTAGGAAGGCATGAGATTTTATCATACTATTCAGAATGGCACATAACTTAAAATATATAAATGTTTATTTTCTGAATTTTCCATGGAGTATATTTTTGAACCCCAGTTGACTGTGGGTAAATGAAAGTGAAGACAGCAAACCATGCCAGAGGAATACAGAATGCACAAATGCACATACTTTACAGGACAAGACAAAAGACCATTGATGTGTTTTTTTATTTAAAGAAGTTCATGTGTTTTTGATTCAAAGGAGTAGAAGTTTCTTAGATCAGCAAGTTGTTATTCCTGACATAAACAAGCAGCCTAGCCTCGAAGAGGTAAAAAATCAATCACAGTCTGCCTTCTCTGTGGGCTCCACATCTGAAGATTCAACAAATTGTTGATCAAAAATATATTTAAACATTGTGTCTGCATGGGACATACATACATTATTTTTGGTCATATCCCCCCAGTAATACAGTATGACAACTACTTTTATAGCACAGCATTTGCATTTTATTCAGTATCTAGAGATAATTTAAGGTATATGGGAGGATGTGCATAGCTTATATGCAAATATTGCACCTAACACTTCATATTAAGGACCTGAGGAGCTGTGAAGTTTAACATCCAAGGTGGCTCTATAAATTGTATATATTCCTGGAGTCCTGTCTTGCCCTCACTAGCCATTTAAGAGCTGATGTCCTTTCAGGCGGCAAAATTTATAGAAGAGATCAGAGGGGAAGTCAGGACAGAGAAGAACCACACCAGGCTGCCAAGCTGGAGAGGCAGATGTGGGCCATGAGGGGGTAACAAATAAAGCTGCACAAGGAAGACAGGTGTTATCTTCCTGTATCAGTCAAGAACTAGTCAGTACACACAACTACAGTGCAAAATAAATGTAATTGATTTATTTGTTTAGTGTACACTTCTCAAAACCATGATTTAAACATTTGGAGTTTGTTTTGGCAAATTGAAAATACTCTCAAAACACTTTTACCCCATTCATGTTTACTCTGTCTGAAGAGGGTTTTTTTTGTTGTTTTTGTTTTTGTTTTTGCTTTTTTTTTTAGTACCGGGGATTGCACTTGGGTCCTTCCGCTTGCAAGGCAGGCGGCGGAACCACTGAGCTAAATCGCCGGCCCTATCTGAAGGGTTTTGATACTTTTCATTTCCTTCACCAACACAGTTTCTTATACGAGCCCCCTTTGATGTCAAGGAGGTCTTTCTATGTGACTCTGGAGAGTATGTTGATTTTTCTGAGAAATAGAGAGTTACTTTCTTTGAAGTAAGAAAACCAGCATACAAAATGATTCTTGTTGTCAGTTTAAAACATCAAGCACAGGTAAAGTGGATGAATCTGTCTCTCTTCTGCTATAAAAAGCCAGTCCATTTGGCAAGTACCCAGTTGTTTTCTTCTTGACCGTGGGCAGTAAGATTTTTTATTCTAATGAGGGCTAGTGTGCTGAGAGTCTGTGTGACTCTTGTGAGAGACTGTTCAGGAATTATTCAACAGATTTCTCTTATTGACTCACTAACTTTCAGCTGCAAAATTAGTTCACTTATAAACTATTATAAAACAAAGCAATAGTATTTATACACATGGATGTAAACACATGCAAAATCATTTTATGTGTTAGGAAGAAGCTAAATATTCTTTATTTTTTAATATCCAACTGTGATGGGAGACACATGGAGAGGTTTCTTTATTTTTCATACAATGGACACTTGAATTATGAACTCAATTTGTTCGTGAGGGCTGATTGTAACTCAAATTGGGCAATTGAAGGCTCAGGCTCCTCTACACAGCCTTCAAAATCTCTCTCCTAAACACAGGCAGATCTCAGTGTCCTGAGAGAGACATTGGCCCAAATTTCTAAATTAATTCCACATAGGAAAGGATGAAGTAATGTTCCTCCCAGAACTCTTTAAGGGTTAAATCTGTATCTGAGACCATCTGGAAACACAAGCAGCCAGCATTTGGGTCACAACTCAAGACTTTTTCATAGGTTAAAACTAAAATTCCGGTCATAACCCAAGTTGTTCATATGTCAGGTCAGTCAGAACTTGAGGCTACACTATATATTAAAAGTTATTTGACTTAAAAGTATTTGAAATAGGAAGAAAATGTCCAAAAGGATAGGGGAAGTGGGAGGGGAAGGGGAAAGGAAAGAAGGGAAAGGAAAAATTATGAGAAAAGAAAAAAAATGGAAACAAAGTCTTTGTAAATAGGGAAGAGTGGAGGGGGTGAAGGGCGCACAGGGAATGAGGAAAAAATAAGAATCAAGATATATCACGTACAGGTACAAGCACCCAATGATAAATGTAAACATATTGTATACCTAAAATCTACCAATAAAAGAATTTAAGCAAAGAAAAAAAAAGTTATTTGACTATGCAGCTAGGTGGAGAGTGAGTACATAGTGGTCATCATAGTGTTGTGACTTTGAAATTTTATTAGAATAGTCCAGGGATGTTACATAGTCAAATGAAACCTAAAATGTCAGTGATTTAGCATGACAATCACTTAAGAGTATAGTGCATAGCAGTTGTATAAGTAGGAAGGAGAGTCTAATTTTTCACACAGCCACTCAGGGATCTAGGCAAATAGAGGCTTTCCACCTTATATCTGCGTGCTCTGGATCATGGCTTTATTGATGTCAGGGGAAAAGATAGCATGGTGATTTCACATCTGCTGTGCTATGCTTCGGGACAGAGGAACGCATATCTGTTCCACTTACATTAGTGCATTGGCAATGATT